TGGAGGACGTCACAGGTAGGTCCTACTTCTTTACTTTCCCTCTGTTGTTTTCATCTGTCTGTCTTACTTTTTCCGAGCGCTAAATAACTATTATTATTTCGATGTGCTTCTCTTTGCTCAAACAAAGAAACAATTGTTGTTGTTGATTTTTGTTGTTGTTGTTGTTGTTGTTGTTGTTGTTATTGTTGTGGCGATGGTGGTGGTGATGGAGGAGTATGACCTGGTTGTCAGGTTGATGATGTGGGAAGATGTTGTTATGGAGATCGTGTAAGTTGTTGTTGTTGTTGTTGTTGTTGTTGTTGTTGTTGTCGTTGTTGTTGTTGTTGTTGTTGTTGTTGTTGTTGTTGTTGTTGTTTTAGTGGTAGTGCCTGGGGGGAGGGATGACATGATTGTATGAGTAGCTGTCGCTCTTATCCTGGTAGCAGTGTAGAGGGTGTTGAGCCCAAATAGGGGGAGGGAAATGGAATATAGTTAATGCTGTACACGTGTGTCCATTGCTGCTTCCTAATGGGCCACAGCACCTGAGGCAGAGATAGATAGATAGAGAGAGAGAGAGAGAGAGAGAGAGAGAGAGAGAAGGAGGGAGAGGGAGAGAAAAGAAGAGAGGGAGAGAGAAGGGGGGGAGAGACTGCCTTAAGTAATCAATATTTCCTTTAACTGTTCGAATACGCCTATTGTCAGTTATCCTTTTTGCACTAAGTTAAGCAGCGCGCCTTCGGTTCTTTCCCGTTTATTTCTGAAACCCTTAAAAGCAAAAAAATAGTTTCCTTTGTAGTTGTATGTCTGTCCTTATATCTCATCAACCTCTTGCTCCTTGTTTTCCGGTTCAGCGACACGAGCAGCGGGTTATGTTCGCTTTCACAGACTCCTTCAGCGCCATAACTCACCCTACCTGCTTCATTTTTACTTACTAGCTCGTTGGAGGGGGGGGGGCGTCACCGTGACATACATGGAACTGTGACGGGACGCCAGACCTTGAAGAGAAACCCCAAAGATTCTTATTATGAGGGGGTTGGGAAGTCGGGTGAGAGGAGGGTAATCTAATGATGGAAGGGGGAGGGTCAAAGTCAGTACTGCGTTCAAGTGTCGAAGCTGATGATCTGGCAAAATCAACAATTATGAAATAATATATAATTTAACATATTTATATCCATTCAAAATCCAATACCAACGAAGTCTAAATAAAACGTGACATTTTCCAGTACTTGCTGGTAATTAGCTGTTCTATTCTTCTCGGGAAGCCAAAAATGTTTCAGAGTGATCAAGATGTCTGCTGGGGTAATTTAGCGAATAAAGTATGATGTAGAACATGGGTAAGCGCCTTATCAAGGCAATCATTATAATCATTATTAGTGTATGTGAAGCTTCTTTCAATGACAGTTACAATTTTAATACACTGCCAATACTCTTTTGCCGTTGCATGCAAAAGACGTGAGATCGTTCGATTCTCGAGTGGGGAGAATTTTTCTATCAAGTATCTCCATCTTTCTGCTGGAACGTCAAATTCCTTTCATCCGGGGTTAACAGGATCGAAGCAGCCCCCCTCCTAAATGTTCAGAATTGTGACCATATGGGCGTAAAAAAACATTTCCAATGACATGTTTTACTCTTTTTAAAAATACATTTGACATGCTTTTCCACAGACATGTGGGTGGTTGGTGTGTGCTCTGGTGTGGTTTGCTCCTTCTTTCTTATAAATAATCTATCATCTCTATCTCCCCTCCTTCTTTTTTTGTGTTTGTTACTCTCTTGTAACACCTCTAATCTTCGGCACTTATTATGACCTTAATGTGTTGCAAGTGCGTAAAACTCTTACTAAAACTAAAACTAAATTTTCCTCAGACATGTGGTCTACCCAAACGGCTCTCTGTACTTCCCGCGAGTCCGGCCAGCTGATGAGGGCACGTACAGGTGTGAAGGACTCAGCCTGACAGGTCCGGCACAGACATTCACCTCGGAACTTGCACTTGCTGGTGAGTGAGTTGAGCTTGAGTGCTAGATCAACTGTTTTTGTGTGAGTGAGAGTGCGCTTCAGCTTGAGTGCTGCTGTTTTCGTGAGAGCACATTTTTTTTAGAGGGGGTTGGGG